GCCGCATCAGTCTCTGTCGCGGCTGCGCCGTGGTACGTCCCCACCCGCCGTGCACGAGGGCTCCCTTTTCTCCACATCTTCACCGACACTTTTTTTCCCCCCAAATCGAGGTACGTGTGATTGACAATTATCTGGGGTTTTTTGGAAGTAGCCATTTTAGTGGGTGTGAGATCCTATCTCATCGCGGGTTTGATGGGCATTTTGACTAGTGACTAGTGGCGTTGAGCATGTTTCATGTGCTCGTTGGCCATTTGTATGTCTTTGGAGAAATACCTATTCAGGTGCTTTGCCCAATTTTTAATCGGGTTGTTTTGTTGTTGAGTCGTAGAATTTCGTATGTATCCTGGACGTTAAGCTGTTTTCAGAGGCGGAATCTGCAGACATGTTCTCCCATTCCTCGGGTTGCCTTTTTACTCTACAGATAGTGTCTCTTAATGCACAGAATTTAAAGGTTTTTACGAAGGCCAATCAATCTATTTTTCCTCTTTTGCTACCTGTGCATTTGGTGTAATATCCAAGAAATCATCACCAGATCCAGTGCTGTGCAGCTTTGTCTTCTGTTCTAGGGATTTGGGGTTGGAGGTCCGGTGTTTAGGTCCTGGGTTCATTTCGAGTTCACTTTTATGTGTGAGAATAGAGAAGGCGACCCATCACGCCAGGCCCGGCCGGCGGCTGAGGGACGGTTAACCTGCTCATCGGCTGCTGCAGTGTGGCGGTGCCTCCGAAGTCCCCCCAGGGGTGGGCTGTGGCTGCCCCACCTGTGCGCACCATGGGGCCCGTTACGGCGCCTCGGCTCCAGGGTCAGGGAGAGTCCTCCCGGCGCTGGTGCTGGCGCTGGCGCTGGCGCTGGCCCACTCAAACAAGGTTGCTGTTTGGCAGGGCCTCGCAGCGTCGCAGGGGAGCTGCAATGGCCAGGGGCAGAGGCAGGCGCCCTGCAGCCACGAGCGAGGAGCGGGGCCTCCTGGTCTTGGCTGGCTGCGGTGCTCTGCCCACTTTCCCTGCCTGTTGGGAGGGTGATGGATGGGACAGACACAGCCCTGCTCTGTGTCTTTCAGTGGGATGACAGAGTGTGCTAACTACTTGATGTCATGTGGAAATAAGCCCACTCGGTGGGGGCAGGCCAAAGAACGGCAGGTTGCCATAACAAGTGGGGGCAGGGGTATCCTGAGCGAGAGGAGACAACTCGTCCGTCTTGGAGTCTCTTCACTGTCACCTGTGCCTCGACTCTGCCCTGCCGGAGCGGGCTAACTGGCTTCTTTTCCAGGGAGCAAAGCTTGTACTGGCTCGCGATCCAGCAGCTCCCCGCGGACCCCATGGAGGAGCAGTTCCCCGTCCTGAACGTCACCCGGTACTACAATGCCAACGGGGACGTAGTGGAGGAGGAGGAGAGCTCCTGCACCTACTACGAGTGCCACTACCCGCCCTGCACAGTGATCGAGAGGCAGGTACGCGCCTGCCCGCTGCCCGCTCCCTGCGGCTGCCGTCCCTGGGGTTGCGGGTCCTTCTGACCCGGGTGCCGCGTCTGCCCCAGCACCGGGTCTCCACGTGATTGTGAAGCCGTGTGTCCTGTGTTCTTTCAGCTCCGGGAGTTCAACATCTGTGGGCGCTGCCAAGTTGCACGCTACTGCGGCTCCCAGTGCCAGCAGAAGGACTGGCCCGCCCACAAGAGGCACTGTCGGGAGAAGAGGCGCCCCTGCCAGCACGAGCTGGAGCCCGAGCGATGACGGCCCTTCTGGCCCCGTGGACAGATGGGAGGGTGGAGCCGGTGGTGCGGTGGCCACCAGCCACGGCCCCAAAACGGGGACCACGTGCACACTGCGCTCCCTTGGAGCAGAGACAGCCGGGGAGGCCACCAGGATGCTTCCCGTTATTTATATGTTAATATGTTTGTAAACTCATGTACAGTTTTTTGGGGGGAAGGGGGAGGGTTAGAAATTGCAAATAGAATCATTTGCTGTCATCTTCAAATGGCAGACGTCAGGCCACACGTCTAAAACTGTCGTGGAGCCCGGAGGCCCTGGGGACTCACACCGGCTCAGAGAGCAAAGGGCGAGGCGGGTACCCAGTGCCCTCCTGGCTCCACCCTCGTCAGCCGGCTGTCTGTGGGGTGGACTGAGCAGCGTGATGACACCCAGGCCCATCCTCGCCGTGGGCGGGAGTTGTGGAGCAGGCACGGGGGGATCTCAGCCCCAGCTCTGCGGAGACCACCCTTGACTCTGGCGCTGCATGCCTCGCGGGTGGGTTGGCTTCTGGGCGGGTCCACTGAGGCCACTGCGCCTGTGCATCGGAGCAGCCAGAGTGCCTGAGCGCCGCTTCCCCACCCCCTGGGCTGGGCTATGGTCCCCGGGACTCACTCCCTATCCCGTGGTAGTCACAGTAGCTGAGAGCTGGGTGGCACCTTATTTACACACCTTGCAGAGCCTGCTGGGGCCAGTGAGCCGGGCTGTGTGGCCAGCATCTGGCTGGTCTCCAGGCCCAGCTAGTGCAATGGCGGCCTTGCCTTCGGGGGGAGCGGAGGCTGGCTGGCCCAGCTGCAGCCGTCTGGCCCGCGTTGGTCCTGCTGCACTTGCCTTCTTGCAGCTCCTCTGCCGTCTTCTAGGACGCCCTGGCTGAGGAAGACTCCTTGGTGGCCTTTGGTCTATGATCTGAGCTGCTGATAGCTTTTTCTGCAGTACTTGGGGTCTCCCCGGGCAATGCACCCTGGAGAACAGGACTGGGGATACGGGGTGGTAACAGGCAGGGAGCAGGAAGGTTCAGCCCTGACCCCAGGGGAGGGGCTCTGACGGCGAGGGCTCCACGTGCTCCCCACATGTGTTTGACCGTGGCAGCTCGGCTGCAGCATCTTCTAAGTCAGAGACAATTTTGCTACACGTGGGAGGTCTGCTCTAGGTCTCCCCAGAGCTTGGCTCAGCGTGAGAGGCTCGAAGCTATTGAGAAAGAGGGTATGTGTGATTCCTACAGAAAGCTGGCTTTGGCCCTTGGTATGGTTCTAGGCTGGGTAACTCCTGCTTCCAGAGGCCAGCTCTGGCCAGGACACTTCCAGCAGGGAGCCCTTGTAGGCTGGCATGCTGGGGTTTGGGTGGTCCTCCAGGCAGGGGCTGCGAGTGTGCTCAGCCATCTGCTTCCAGTTTGCTGGGACGAGGAGGCACTGGACTGCAGGCTGTGGGTTTTGCATGTCCTTTGGGGAGTGGCCAGGTTGGCACTCCAGCCTGTCTGTACCCCCTGACCAGCACAAATTGTTCTGTGGTCAGTTATTTGTCAGAAAATTATAGGGGAAGGGAAGTGCCCAGCGTCTCGGCTGGCCACAGAGTGCCATGTTGGGTCCTGACACCTGGGTGCTTACAACCGTGTCATGCAGCTCATCTGGAATAGCCACGTGGATCACTGTCCCCGTGGCTGCTGAGAGCTGAAGCCACACCAGGTAGCCGTCCCCTACCTGATCATGCTGTGCCTAGGCGGTCAGTCTGTGTGTGGGAGCTGGGAAGGTGGCCATGGACCTAGAGTTTGTTCTTTCCCTTTGCTAATGTCGCCACCATGGCGCCTGGGGCGGATGCTGTCATAAAGGTGCTGTTGGGTCCAGAGATCGTTTTTACCCATTTGCCTTCCTTGTCCCCAATACCCAGCCCCTGGTTTCTTTTCCGATGGCCCCAACCTCTGATTTTCAGAGCCATACATCTGAGAACACCTATGAAAGTTCAACATTCAGATGGTTGAAACGTGGGGTTTGTTTCTAACCCGTTCGGAGCATAGCATGGGGCTGCTTGAGCTGATCCTCTTAGACCAGGTGGAGTGTGTGGTTCAGCCAATTCAGAATGTCCTGCTGCTTCCTGACCCTGTCTGCTCCTCTGCTTCGGCTGCCGCCTCAGCTGCTGACTCCTGTCTGTATCTGTAGCCATAGCCCTGTTTCAAAACCGCAGGCTAAACATCCCTGTGGATGTCAGTCGCAAACAGACCAGGTTCTTGGAGCTGCTGTAACAAAGTATCAGCATCTGGGTGGCTTGAAACAACAATGTATTGTCTGGGTTCTGGAGGCCGGAGGTCAAGGTGTGTTCCAGGCCTCCCCTAGCACTGGCAGCTTCTGGTGGGCCACAACGTACCCGTGTGCCTGTGCATCACCTTCCCTCTGGTGGGTGGCTCTGGCAGACCAAACCCCCTTCACACGGACAGCACTCATATTTGGATCCCCCGCTTCGTTTTAACTGGATCCTGTGAAGGTCACATTCTGTGGTGGGACCTCCACGTATCTTTTTGAGAGGATGTAATTCAACCCATAACAGTATCCAAGACGTGGCTCGCCGAAGCTGTTGTGCAGAGGCCAGTAGTTTTCCTGAACGGTATCAGCACCTACTTCCTCTCCCCAGTCAGGGCATGGCTGTGCTGCGTCTCTCCCATACAGCCTAAGCCTCACTGCCCAGCACTCCCGCCTCAGGCGCCCCCGCTGGCCTGTGTCCTTTCTCCCCTGTCGTGGCAGGCAGGTCTTTGCTTCCGCCCATGCCCCGCACTCGCCTTACTGGGGGGCCATGAGGGACGGAGGGCGGCGGAGGCCCAGCCCCTTTCGGACCGACCGTGGACTCGGCTCCCTGAATGTCCAGGCCCTGTGCTCGCCCCTTCAAGGCCCAGCTCCTACCGTTCCGTGCGGGACGAGGTGTCCCCGCGTCTCGTCCCCGGAGC